GGATCCAAATGGGAAATGTTTTGTTAGCAGTGGATGAAATCAAGAAATGGGGGGCTTTGCCAGGAGGACAAGGTCATGGTTGTGCCTGACTGATGTTATTCCCTGCTCAGGATCCAGTTGCAACTGATGGGGAGTTTCACCTGAAGACTGAACCACATCAGTTTGCACACAGGCTCTTGCTCCATGTCACACCAGTGAGTGACCATGCAGAGGGGCTGATCATCATCAGACAGTCTCATAAGCTGACAAAAATGAGGGTTTTTTTAGTATTCCATTTGAAGTATCAAGTATTACTACAAGGCAGTGGATTCTTCCAGGCCCAGGATATGCAGACTCTTATTGTGCCAAATAAATGTCAGGAATAAAGGTCCAGAATGGGGACCCAAGCGTGGTCGCCACCACCAGCAGCTTACAAGATAAAATATTTTGTCCTTAAGCAACCAAAGGTTCACCCCACACAGCACAGGCCAGAGAACAATCTCCACAGCTCTATAGTAAATCTCATTCAAAAGCTCAAAAGCCAAGGATTATTCTGTGACTCTGGAAGCATGAAAGACTCTTTTGTCTCCCCTACCTTTGTACCCTCACTGGTACAAAGTTGTACCCAGATTAAATTACTCATTTAAGCACCTGTGTAGTCAACAGAGAGAAACAGATGCTTCCAGAAAGCAACTTTCCTTTGTGTCTTAGACATTCTTCCTAAGACTGGAAGAGCTGCCCTCTGGAGATACCCTCCCTCTGTTGGATACAGGAATGAGAGGCTTGGATTGGACCTTCAGCATTCAGTGTCTAAGGTCAGAGGAACCTCATTCCAGCTTTATTTCTACACTAACTAGAAAACATCACTTCATCATTTGATGTTTCATCAGTTTGAGGCTCTGTCAAAACCTGACTCCAAGGAATGTTCATGACACTTGCAAAAAGGAAACTCAAAACTGGCAAGACAAAGCTCAAACTAGAAACTATGGAACCTCAGAAATCTTTGGTTTGGATCCAGGATGCTGTGATTTTTTCTTAGTCTTTTTCATGCTCCTGAGACACACAATGGAGCTGACACACTGGTGGATCCAGCATCATAGAGTCCTAGAATCACAGAACTACTCATGTTGGAAAAGCTCTTTGGGATCCAACCATCATCCCTACTCTACAAAGTTCTCCCCTGAACCACATCCACCAACACCACATCCAAACGACCCTTCAACCCATCCAGGGATGGTGACTCAACCACCTCCCTGGGCAGCCTGTTCCAGGACTTTCCTTTTGAGAATTCAGAGCTGGGCTGGCAGTGTGGGGAGGGAGGCTTATCAAGCTATGTACCAGGTCAGTGGCCACACAGCATATGTCATCATGGGGAATGTAATATGTTTTGTTTGGTTGGTTTGGGTTTGGTTTTCTTTTGTTTGTTTGTTTGTTTTTCTTTTTAATTTACCAAATTGAGAAAACTCCTAAGTCAGATGCACTTTTCATGAGAAAGAAGGATGTGCACTTGGTCCAGCTATTCTAGGAAGGCAATATTCTACACATCCACCTCATAAGAGGGTCAAACCCTCCATCAGCAGGGTCCAAACTAGACACCCAGGTCCAGTTTTGTGTGAGATGAGATGGGGAAGGTTCTGCTTCCATTCCTGGTTTCCCCAAGAAGAGTTCACAGAGGGTGAGCACTCAGGCTCAGTCATGCCACCCAAGAAGCAGCAGTGATTTCTTCAATATAATCACCCTGGCAAAGCCTGAGCTAATGGCAGACTGATCACCAGCCAGACAGGGATATTTCTAACCAGATCTACACTATAAGAACAACAGGCTGCTCCAAGACAAATTCTTGGACCATGGCCATCTCCAAACTGGGCCAATGTGCCCGGTAGGAAGAGCTCCAAAGGTGGTTGTTCTTCCACAAGAAAGGAGCAACCAGAATAGGGAGAGAACTCAATTAGAACTGATTCAACAAGAGACAAATTAGGTGATCAGATCAGGTGGGGAAGGGAAACAAATACTTCAGAGGATCAGGATGGCAGGAAGGCAAATTCCCTCATTTGGCACTAATGCCTTTTGTTTACTTTATATTAGCAGATTGGTGTGTGTTAATCAGCTCTAAGGCTCCATCCTGGTTGGTAGGATTACAAATCCCAGGAGGGGAGTAAGCCATAAAACTCTAATGAATTCCATTATTCATGAACAAAATCAGAGTGGAGACACTCAAAACAGAGTGCTGAGCACATCCAGACCTTCCAGAGTCAGGCCATCCTGGAGCAAACCCAATAGCTGTGCTCCATGCCAAGCAGCCATGTCCACCTCTGGGACATGACACCAAGGTTTTGATGCTACTGAAAGCTCAGCTGGAGCTTCCCCTCAGGCTCTGCTGGATGGGAAGATACCAGGGAAGATGGGCACAGATTGAGACTGAGCCTCACCACGTGCAGCCACGCGGGCCCTGCCAGGAGAGCATCACACACAGCTCCCTGGGGATTGCTCAGGATGCAAGTGCACAGGGCAGACAATTCACACCACCAGAATCTCTCATAGGATCATATCACAGAAGGAGCCAGTGCTGGGAAATGCTCATTTTTAGATGCAGTTTTCCCCATACAAGAACAAACCAAAATGAAGGTCCCTGTCATAATGGATCTTTATTCATTGTATGGCAGAGCCTTGGAGAATTTATACTTTCATCCTGTTGCCTTTATTTACCCAAAAAGGGAGGAGAACTATTGGAAAATACCCTCAGTACCTTTCCTGACTCTTCAATTACTTTTGTATCGTTTCCAGAGGCTCCTGCCCAGGAATGAACATTTTCAGGGCACACACTGACTGTCCCTGAAGATGAGGCACAGCTCACAGAGGCTGCTGCAGCTTGGCTGGGGTCAAGCCTGACTCATCAGAGACAAATATGATGGAACAGAAAATCGAAAAGGTTTCCCCAGCCTTTGCTGCCTCTTCCATAGCTGCCAGCTCAGGTATTCAAGGCCTTAAGCAGAGTAGCACCAAGAGATGAGGTATTTCCAGGTGCCTCAAGAGACATTTGCTTTCACATGATCTCTACTGAGATGTTTCACTCCCTTTCTCACATGTACAGAGAACACCAAAGGGAAATACATCTGCGTGTTAAAATGAGGCCAAAGGTGCATGTGGTGTTGTGGAAGACAAGGCATGTTGTAGGTGTCCATTAATGGCTCCTGATCTTTATCAGCCACCCTTCAGCTGGGGAATGTCTGCAGACACCCCAGCTCACATCTTCTGTGAATACCCTGAATCCTTCACAAGGGGGGAGGAGGTTAGTCTGGCTTCTCCATAATGTCTCCAGCTCAGACACTTGGGTTTCCCCTGAAGGCAACCAAGAGGCACTGACTTCACCAGGGTGCACCTCACTGACCTGCCTCAGATTTCAGCTCCATTGGCCACTGACCCTGCAAGGCCAACAGGAGCACCGAGCTCGGACTGAGGTGGCTCCTAAAGTGACATGGACACAATCACTTGGCTACTGCACAGGCTGTGGCAGAGCCACAGTCACCATGTAGCACGTAGCACCCAGGGCTGCCAGTCCCATGTGGCAACTGAACCACTACATGCACCTTTCCTGCAAGCAGAACTAACCCAGAGTCAGCTGGAGGTTCCCGTGGTTTTCTTGTGCCTCAGGTTCCAGCTGCAAGGGGACAAAGACTAGACATCCTTCATTACTGCTTCTCCTTATCACTACCTGATGACCAGAGAAGATGGAGAAACTCTTTTCCTGGCTGGGCTAAACTGCAACACGTTATTTAGCTAAAAGCTGGCCAAGGTGACACACTCACCTGGAGGGTGTTGCAAGTACCACCCATCAGAGGAAATGGTGAAAAGCAGGCAAATACACAGAGTCTTTACCAGCTGCTGGAACCACAGTTGCTACCAGTTTCCATGATGAAATCCTGCAGATCTGCAAGATGCCATGAGATGCCAAAGAGGAGAAGGGTTCTGGGGAGAAGAGGGAGCCCTGGACACCAAGAAGACTCCCTCCAGCCCTATCAGAGAAAAGGGTTCACTCCAGAAAGCTGCACTGTGGCAAAATGGGAGTGCTGTTCATTGAGAGCAGCTCTGGGCAGGAGCCACCAGAGTAACCCATGAACTTCTGAGCCCAGGACAGACAGACTGAGCTTGGAAATTTGTTCCAGGTATGAGACAAAGGATTAAGCCCTTGACTGGTTACAAAGTTTGTCTGGAAGGGACATCAGAAGGTCCCTCTCTGCTCACTGAAGCAGGAGCATAATGAGAGGGGTGGTGGAAGAGAACATACTTCAGGAGTGTGTTTCTCAAAGCAAGTCAGCACCATTTAACCTCCTGATCCGAACAAACTGCAAAACTCAGATTTCATCACCAGAACCAGGACTGTGGAGTAAGTAAAACCACACATTGTGGTTTAGTTTATCATAGAATCACAGACTGTTTTTTACCAAAAGACATTTAGGTGTTGAACTAGTCATCAGCTAGCTGGAGGAAAGGTGCTTTCATCAACTATAGCTGCTTCTGTAAGAGGGAAGACTCCTCTGAGAGACAGTTATTGAAGAGACAGCTCTTCCATGCCTTGCAAAGCCAACGCCAGTTCAATACATGGAAGCAACCACATGGTCAAGAACAGTTCCAGAAATGAAATATCTTTGTGACCAAAGGAAAAGGGACTGTTCAGTACAGAGAGTCTGACAGTTCCTGCATGCTCAGTAGTTTGATCCCTACACATCACTCGCACAACCTCAGCACATGGAGTGACCCCCCCTTTTCATCTCACACCATCAAAGGAGGTCAGATCTGCAGCACAGGACACCTGAGAAGCACCATTCTTGAACCAGTACCGACCCTGCCCACGGTCACTGCAGGGCTGAGCAGTTTTGTATCACACTCAGACCCAGTGGATCACAGGTCCCACTCTACCCAGGCTCACAGCAATGCATCTCACCCCACTGGATCACCTCGGAGAGTGTGGAACCTGTCAAGCCCCCCCCAACCTCACAGAGATAGTTTGCTGCCCTGCAGACAGAAACCCACCTCCACAGGAGATTTGCAGCACAAAAACTGAACACAACATTATCCTTGTTATAAAGGCAAAACCTATTCCTGGAGAACTACTAGAATAGGAACAGAGCTTCAGGCAGGGAACCACCAGCAGGTACTACCCAGCCAAGTCCTCTTCCTGCATGTGGAGGTCAATAATGGGATGCCTACAAGCAAACCCCTCCCTGCTCAAAGATCAGGCCACCCAAATGAAGCTCGAGCTCTCCAAGTGCAGAAACCTCCACATTGAAACAGGCCTACACAGCAAAGAGAGGCCACATGGTCCTAACCCACCTCTGAAGGCCCCTTCCCTCAAGAGCACACTACAGAGCAAGGCTACCACTGACCTGCCAGACACTCTGTAACCATAGAATCATCATAGAATGATTTGGGTTGGAAGGGATCTTAAAGATCATCTAGTTCCAACCCCCTGCATGGGCAGGGACACCTCCCACCAGCCCAGGTTGCTCCAAGCCCCATCCACCCTGCCCTTCAACAGGGCCGGGGGGGGGGCAGCCACAGCTTCCCTGGGCAACCTGGGCCAGGCTCTCACCACCCTCACACTCCAGAATTTCCTCCTCATGTCTTACCTAAATCTCCCCTCTTTCAGTTTTTATCCATTCCCCCTCATCCCATCCCTCCCTGCCCTTGTCCCAAGTCCCTCCCCAGCTTTCCTGGAGCCCCTTCAGGCACTGGAAGGTTCTCTAAGGTATCCCCAGAGCCTTTTCTTCTCCAGACTGAACACCCCCAACAGGGCAAATGCCTTCATTTATTTTATTGTTGTTGTTGTTGTTTTCAAAGAGGAAAAGACTCCTTAGTGTGTTTCCAGAACTTTAAGGACAACTGTTGCCACCCTCATCCCCTGTCAAGAGCAGAAACATGGGTACAAACTGCCCTCCGAACTGATCCAGTTTCAGGGAAGCAGGGGGTGTTCCCCAGCCAAATCAGATTTACTCTGGGGACACAGCCCCAGCTGAGCCTACAACTTGCAGCCCAAGGTTTCCACATCAGAACAGGTTCTGCCAGATGGGCCATGCCCCAAGCCAGGAGAAGTGTATAAACGGAGCCACTCCCTAACCAAGGGGCATCCAGGCTGTAGAGTGCTCCTCTCACAACAGCAGTTCTTCTCTTCAGAAAATGCCATTAGTCTTCAAGTGACCTTTCCAAAGCAATGACCAAGCCAGTGCAAAGCAGGGCTTGCTTTGGAGGGAGCCTGCCTGGGACTGACTTCTCAAAAGCAGTATTTTCTGCAGGCAGAAGCCACCTGCAGTGCCACGGTTAACTCTTCTGCCATCCCTCCCCCTGCACTTTTCAAAGAATCACAGAATGGTTTGGGTTGGAAGGGACCTTAAAGATCATCTAGATCCAACCCCCCTGCATGGGCAGGGACACCTCCCACCAGCCCAGGCTGCTCCAAGCCCCATTCAACACTGCCAGGGATGGGGCTTCCACAACCTCCCTGGGTCTCACCACCCTCACACTAGAGAATTTCCTCCTCATCTCCTAACCTAACCTAAATCTCCCCTCTTACCACTTAAAACCATTACCCCTCATCCTATCACTACATTCCCAAGTAAACAGTCCCTCCCCAGCTTTCCTCTAGCCCCTTCAGATACTGGAAGGTGCTCTAAGGTCTCCTCAGAGCCTTCTCTTCTCGAGGCTGAACAACCACAACTCAATGCTCTTTAGCCAGAAATTCCCTAGAACAAGTTACTCCCAGTTCATGTAACATCTGTTTCCCATTCCAGAGGAATTACAAAGCTCCTGAGCACAGCAAGCCAATGCCACCCGTGCTCCAGGTTGGTCAGGGCTAACTTTGCATGTGTTAAACATGAAGCAGCTGGGCACGTGGGAAGCCACGGTTTCATGACAACCTGCTAAGGGTGAGTGACACACACTCTGGGACATACTCAGAACCAAACGAGGGAGCCTGAGCAGAGAAATCTGGAAATCAACATTCAGATGTGAAAAAAGGGCCTGATTTGGCTCACAGTGCTGAGTGTGAGGGGGGGGTTTCTCAACATTTACATCACACCTTGGGTCAGTGTGAACAACCTCAGTATTGGTGTGAGTTGGGACAAAGGCTCTGAGCCCCCCAGGGCTCACACTTAAGCTGCCATGTGCAAATTCTCTTTTGGACCACGCACCACCAGGATGCAGACCCTCCTTCTCCAGCCCAGTAAAGCATTCCAACCCTGAACTGCAAAGCTTTACAGCTCAAAACACGTAAACCATGGTCTTCCAAGGCTGTGAGTTTTGCAGACCAAATCTCTCCCAAGACTATGGCAGAACATGGCTGGTGCTCCAGAGCTGGAGACAGTGGAGCCATCAGCATCAGAGCAGCTTTGAATCAACATCACTCTAATGCCATCAAAGTCTGCTGATTTTTTCAGTGAGAGCCCTGCTGCATCCCACAGATTGATCAGCCTGGGAGTATCTGAGCTCACTGGGGGGTCTACATGCCCTGATGTTGTAGGCAGCATTTACAAGAAGGGACCTGATGCCGAGACATGAAGGACCATCCTCCACCTTTGCATAATTCCTAACCCCAATGGGACTGGATCTTCTGGACAGAAAGAAATTGAACAGCTTCCATTCCCCCCTCTTTCCTGACTAGGCAAATTATTCCAATTAGGCCATTTCTTTCAATTTCTGTCTCAGGTTTTTTTCTGGAACCCAAATCAGACCGTTTGATGGGAAAAAAAAACAAGGGCTGGGTGAAAAGACAGAGACATAAATAAATATGCTCAGCAGGTTCCCAGCTCTGCTCTGAGTCAGACCCTCAGGAGCCAACTCCTTCAAAGTTAGGTACCTTATAGGTTTGATTTCTGCCAAATCAAAGCAGTGTGACAGCCAGGAGAGGCACCCAAACTGCACACCAGGCTTTCCACTCTCCAGCTCCTCACCCTCACCTTGCAAAGGAGCTGCCAGCTAATACCACCACAGAGACTGGGAGTGTCCAGAGACCCAGTGTCCCACAGCTACAACAGAGATACATCCGCTGAGCCAGACGTGTTTATTTCCCCCATAGCCCACGAGAAGAAATAAGCCCTTTCAGAGTGTGACTCATCTGACCCACTTTGCTGCAGGACACGATTAAGCACAGAGAGCACTGGGGAGCAGGTCTCCAGTGGCTACAGAGCAGCTCAGGTGGCTGGCTCTGATGGAAGGACCTCCACAGCAGATCACAGGATCACAGCATCACCAAGACTGGAAAAGACCTTTAAGATCATCAAGTCCAGCCTGATACCAGTCCATGACCTGATACCACCACATCTCCAGACCATGGCACTAAGTGCCACCTCCAGCCTTTCCTTGAACACCTCCAGGGATGGTGCCTCCACCACTCCCCTGGGAAGCCCATTCTACACTCAATCCAATTCAGCAGACTTACTTGGAGCTGGACTGAGCCTGTCCATAAACGGTGTCCTGCTTGCAGCTCATCATGGGCTGGGCATAGACCACATCAGCCTTGTTGCTTGAGGGGCAGGAGAGGGCTCGTGCTGGCATTTTTTTACTGGTCCTGGTGGTTCCTTGCTGGGTGCTGCAGCTGCTGTAGATGCTCTGGCGGTTCAAGGTCGCCTTGTGCTCTGCCCGACCTCCCACCTGGGTCTTCCTCAGGGTGCCCCGGGGGGGTTCGCAGTAGAGGTCGGGCTCACTGCGGCTGCTCTTCATGTTCTGCACGAAGCAGTAGTCGCTGCCAGCCCTGGTGGGGCTGCAGATGGCCTTGCTGTAGTGCCTGCTGCCCCAGCCCTCCATCTGGCTGTAGGAGCTGTAGCGCCTGTTCTCCGCGTCCCGCTTCAGGGTCCCGTTGTACAGCTGGGCAGGGGGAAACAGGAGACAAGAGAGTGAGGAGAGGGCTGAGCTGCAGGTGGACGGTGCCAATCCTGCTCCTGTGGAGGTGTCACCAAATTCCTGTGTCTCTGAGGTATTTTTGTGGCCCAAAATGTATGAGATGTTATCCCGCCTGCAGCCCTTACAAAAGTGCTAAATCCTCCCTTGAGAACTGGGGACACCGAGTGATCAGGACACATCATCCAGGAGCTTAAAAGCAGAATTGAAAGCTCAGACGTGACCCAGAGAAAATGCCTTGTCTCCAACACATGGGGCCTAACCCGACCTGAAATTGGAGGAGCTCATGTCACATCTCTTGCCAACACAGAGGAGGATGCCCCATTCTGACCCTCCAGCGCTGCCTGCATTTATTTTTCATTTTCTTATGCTATTTTCATAGAATCATAGGATAGTTTGGGTTGGAAGGGACCTTCAAGATCATCCAGCTCCAACCCCCTGCATGGGCAGGGACACCTCCCACCAGCCCAGGCTGCTCCAAGCCCCATCCAACCTGCCCTTCAACACTGCCAAGGATGGGGCAGCCACAGCTTCCCTGGGCAACCTGGGCCAGGCTCTCACCACCCTCACACCAAAGAATTTCCTCTTAAAATCTAACCTAAATCTTTCAGTTTTCAACCATTCCCCCTTGTCCTCTCACCACAAGCCCTTGTCTAAAGTTTCTCCCCAGCTTTCCTGAAGGAAAACATCATTCTCCTTCTATCCACAAGTTCCTTAGGAAGGAAGTAATGGGAGTGAAAAAATCAGTAAGTCTGGATTCTTGAATCTCATTGTGCCAAGAAACAAGTGGAGACAATGAACATCTGCTTAAGAATTACAAGGTGTGTAGTATCAGCTCATACAATGGGATGTTGGGAGAACAATGGGGGATATTCAAGAAGGATTGAGATGACTCAGCCAAGAAGAAATAAAAGAAGAAGAATAAAAGACAGTAAAAAAACACAGCTGCAATTAGCAAACAAACAAACAAAAAAGAGCTTTAGCTGGCCTGCTGACAGCTCAAAATGTTTTCACTTCTTCATCAAATGTCCTCCAGGTTTGCCCCAATATTCTTTAGCAATACTAAACCTTCTGGATGCCAGTGCTGGCTGGAAGCCTGCAGGGCTGTATTCAAGTGAGAGACAAGTCACTAAGGTGTTTACTCCAGAAAGGAAAATAAATAAAGCTTTTTTAGTGCAGTTTTCCCCATGAAACTGAGTTTTTCTACTGCATCCCCCACGGATCTCCAAGATATACATCAAACAGGCATAAAAAGAACCAAAGAATAAAACTGCCTGCCCCATCCCCCTTTGGTTTGACTCAGGGAAGCTCATCCATGGTCTCCTGTTGGGCCAAGGATTCTTTTCTCACCTGACTTTAATCAGCAGTACCTAGGATGCCTCTTCTGCAAAAGCCACCCAAGGATCCCTTGGGCTGTAAGAGAAGAGTCAACACTGGAGCCTTATTATTTCCATGAAGGTTGAAGGCTCAAGGTGTGAAAGGCTGTTCAATCTTTCATGTCACTCAAAAAAACCCCCATATTTCCTAACCTAGAAACACCCCCTGACAGAGAAATGGGGTGAACTCTGCAGGCTCACCCAGAGTCCTGCTGCTCTGCCCCAACCTCATCCCAGCCCTGAGCACACTCAGCATCCTTCCTGTCTCCAGCACTGCAGAATTGTCATTATGGTAATTAATGAAGCCAAATACTTCCATTAAGGAACTGATCTTCAGGAATGCAGTGAATCTTCTCTGCTGCAGCCCAGAGAGTTGCACAGGTAACGGCTGAAAACTTCTAAAAGGGGTTGCCCAGCCCTGGTGGCAGCTGGGCCAGAAGAACCCCCTCCAGCTGACACCCAGATTGCTCTGTCACTTGAGCACCAGCCTGAACAGGTTTTCATTTCTGCAGGTTTGACTCCAAACAGGTGAATTGCTGGAAGGGGAGAAAAGGGCAGCAAATTCTCTTTGCACTTCTACTCCAGAGGACACAGACAAAACCTGTTAGTACTGCAGCATGTAACAGGTTTGGTGCACATCACAGAGCTCCCAGAGAGCTGGAAGAAGGATTTGCATGTGATAAAAAGAGCAAGAACAAGGCACCTGGGTAAGTGTGATGGTCTTGGGGGCTCTCCTGGCAGTGGGACAAGCTCACTGCAATTCCAGGATGGCCATGAACAGAGTTTCACTCCATCCAGGTTTTGCTTTGGGTACAGCAACAGCAAAGTGGCCCTTCAGGAAGTCATGATCTACCCCACTGCTGATATGTCCTTCTGAGGTGATGATATCTAATGTGATATAATCCTAATTTTTTTCTTCATTTTCCTAGGTTCAGAAACCCTGGGGACAGTGAGGTCAGGGCTGTGGCAGAGAGGTGCAGGGTGGACTCTGCTGCTCAGTGGAGTGGGGAACCCACTCCCAGGGCTCTCCTGGAGGACGGAGCAGCAGCTCAGATGTCAGCCCTGTCGTTTTCCTTTCTGAGTCAGTATAAACTGGGATTGTTTTGCAGGGCTGTCAGAAGCTTGGCAGAGCTGCAGAGCCCCTTGGGCATTTGCTGAAACCAATTCAGCTAACCATGGAAGAGCTAACTTGTTATTTATCTAGAGCTATTGTTTGCTCTCCTGTGTGTGCACACAGGCTCTCTGCCAGCAGAGCGGGCGAGGGAAGGTGTGAGTGTGTCTGCCTTTATAGATCCCAAATTATCTGTTCTTTATTTCCTGTTGTGTTTTATAGTGGCATGTAGCACTGTCCTCTCTCTTGCCAGCCCCAAGACGGGCGAAGCAAAGCCACTGCCTGTTTGGAAAGACACTCTTCTGCAACACAGGGAGCCCTGAGCAGCAAGTCAGTGCAGGTCCTGGCAGGGCGGGGAAGCCTTTTGCAAACTCATGGGAAAATAGTTCCCGTGTGATGTGAAGCTCATTACCAAAGTCAGTGCATGACTTTTATTGCTGATTCTACTAGATGCTTGGCTGAGCCCATTTTAATCTCTTTCAAGTGGCACGGACCTAATTGGTATCTTAGGATTCCTCTTTGCAGCAGGAGCCTGATCCAAAGCCTCCAAATCGATGAGGAGCCTCCTGCCTTCAGTGGGTGTCACACCTGCTGGCCAAACAGTCTCTATGAATCCTTGCACAGAGGCAGCTGGCCTGATCCCTCCTTGGGCTTAGCAAAGTGCCAAGTCTGGGCCTTGAGAGCACCTTTTTCAAGCTAAAACCTACATCCCCCCTTCAGATGTTCACCAGACTGAAGTCTGAGACCTTCACTCCCAACGCCGGAGCAAACGTGGCCGAGGGGATGGTGCTCCCTGTGCTGCTGCCTCTGCTGGCTGCAGAGATCTGTCAGACTGGATGCACAGGGAGGCAGAAGCAAAGTGCTCTGCTGTCTGGGGAAGAGATGGGATCTCTGAAGGTGAAGGTGATGCTATTACAGAGTCTGTGGTTTCAAGAGCCACCTGACAACAATCTTGTCACTTCTGCTGTTGCCATTATGTGTGTGGAGTGAGCTCTCCCTCTGCAGAATAGCATTAGTGAAAGGAAATAATCAATCTCTGGCCTTCACACCTCACAAACCACCCAGATTTCCCAACACCCTGGATCTGCCAAGAGCTGTGGGTGTTTGCATGGGGGAAGTGGGCCAGGTCCACAACTCTTCCCTTCAGAAGTGTGGAGAAGTGCTGGAAAAGACAAGGAAACCCCTCAAAGTGGGGTAGAGACAGAAAACAGTGATTCCCTCTGCACTTCAAGGTCTGGAAACCATTTTAAGCTGTCACCAACACTTCTCCCCATGGATCTGAGAATTTGGGGCAGCTTGGTCTCTCCTTTCAGCCAGATGTTGGCAGTCCCTGCTCTTGGAGGATGCAGAAGGATGCTCACTTGCAGTCTGGCAATGTCAACATCCTGGATTTAAACCTGAACTTCCCCTCCCTACTGAGAAAGGAGCCTGTATGTTTGAGGCCAAGCCCTGGGAGCCCTTTATTCATATTAAAACAAGGAGGGGAGGCCCAGGAAGGAAAGACAGTGAAGATGAGCACTGATAGCATCTGGGTGCTAAAACATGTCCCTCAGCAGCCTATCTACATTACTTTTAAACACATCCAGAGACGGTGACTCCACCACTTCCCTGAGCAGGCTGTGTCAGGGCCTGACAGCCCTTTTGGGGAAGCAATTTTTCCTAAAAGGAAAGTGAGGTCTTTCCTTCAGCAGCAGCAAAGACCTGCCTTTAAATGAATAAGCATTTGTGGATCATCAGTTCTCAGCCTGCAATATGAGACAGTCAATTGGAACATCCAACGGCAGGTAAATAAATATCTTTAACTTCTTATTTCAGCTGGGATTAGAACTGGTAAAAAAAAATAAAAACTGGCATCATCTCAGTCACTGATCATGAGGTCTGCTCTGTATTTTTCTTCCATCAACCCTTGTGTAAACCAGGAGAAGCCCCTCTCCTCCTCCCTCCTTCCAGAGAAGCAGAAGCACAGAGCAAGGCCCCAGGAACTGCTCCCATCTCAGCTGCCTTTCCACCTCGGTGGCCCTGCTAGATAACTGGGTGTTTCTGCCTCCTGCATCTAAGGACGCCATCAGTTCATTACCTACCTCTCATTTTTTTTCCCTTGCAATTTGTTTGTTTCTAGAGCAGCAGACAGAGAGAAGGAAAGGACTCGGCACAAACACGTCAGGAGCAGGTTTCTCCCAGGCTGGAGGGCAAAGCACAGGCGATGCAACCTGACAGGGTCCCACCCTGCGTGGTGGGTGGGGAAAACTCCTGGTGCTGCTTGCGAAACGCAGCCTGCTGTGCTCCCCATTGCAGGGAGAAAAATTGCCAAACCAGCAGATATATTGTTTATCCATTTCTGAAAGGTTCTTTCCCAGCTCTCCTGGGTGCTGCCTTTCCAGATGCATTTTCATCGGGTTCCTGAGGCAGCTGAGATTTAGGTCTTGGTGGTTAAGTTTGTTCTGACTGGGAAAGGTCATGTCCAAATATGCTACATATGTAAAGCCTCTTGCAAAACCTCCTAGGGACACCAGGGTCTGACCAAGTAAGGATGTGCAACAACTAGAAATCTTTATTCTCTTTAAAAGGTCACCCAAAACAGTCTATTTTGGGGATTCTTTTAAACTTGAATGCACCATCACAGCAAAAGACAGAATTTGTCCTGAAATCGTTACAGGACAGAGCTCCCCCTGATGAGAGACTTTTGTGCTCAGAGGCAAAGGCAGCCAGGAGTGGAAAGGAATGTTCCTGTCTCGTGGCAAACACCCCTGATGCAGCTAATGCATTTGGGACAGGAAGCTCTGCAGGTTTCTCCCACAGAGAACATTTGTTCAGGGATCTACATGGAGTGGCTGGTGCAGAGGGATCACCAAGGTGCATGTTTTTCATTAGTGCCATAACGGACTGGAAAGTTACAGAGACCAAGCTGGGTGGGCCAGCACAGAGCCTGAAACCCCAGAGGTGGAACCCAAGGAAGAAGAGGGGTGAGCTGGCAGCCCAGTAGCCACTGGTTCCCAACTATTATATGCCAGAATCCAACTCAGTTAACTGCTTTAGTGGGAGTAGCCTCAGCCACCCCAAATATCCCTTGGTCTGGGAGCAGACACATCACTCTTCCCTACAAGCCTCAGGCTGAGGTTAGCTCTGGGGGGATGATGCTAACCTAATGTCCATGGAGATGATCCAAGGGCTGGAGCAGCTCTGCTCTAGAGAGGGGCAGAGAGAGTTGCGGGTGGACTTCTGCACTTTGTCCTGTCCCTGCATCATCCCAACAGTGCCAAAGCTGACATGGGACCTGGGAACGCCCCTGACTCTCCAGCAGGGATGGACCTGCCAACCCAGCAGAGCCAGGCAAGGGCAGTGCTGCTCCAGGTGGGAATTAAGCCTCAGAGGGTCTTTGTTGATGGCATGATCCTGGCTCCACCAACTGCCTTCCCCTGGTGCTCAGGGTTTGGCCATGCACCTCCAAAGCTGTGCCTGCTCTGGGTGAGCAGCACACACTGCAGCCCATGGGCCACCACCCTGTGACAGGGGCTTTGAGCCCAATGCTGAACAGATCCTATTTTGGGGGGATATTAGGTGTGAGAGCCAAGGGTGCAGCTCGTGCTGAGACTTCTCCTGCCATGACTGCACTGCTCTGAGTGCCCTGCTTAGCTTGCTCAAACCTCCCTTGGGTTTGTCTGTGTAAATTGTGGTCACCACTGCACCTTCTGTGGGACCTCAGGCACTCTCAGGCCTTACATCAGGACACAGCACAGCCAGCTGGTTGGATGGCTTTGGGAAGTGGTGGCCACTCATAACTCACATTGTCAACAGGGTAACAAATATCTCTAAGGGTCTTCTGTGCTCAACAGTCCTGGATTGAGAGATCACCTAATGCAGAGAGGGCTGCAGTCACTAATGCCCCATCATTGCATCCCATCATGGCCACTGAGGAGATGGAATGGAGGCTTCATCCCTGAAGGCTGAGCCAGCCCCCAACATGTGAGCCAAGAAAACACTGCAAACCTGCTGTCCTCAGAGTGCCTGTTTCTGGAGTGGTCCCACTCATCACCTGTGCTACCTGACTGCTCACTGCAATGCCAGTCACAGTGATGCTACAAATGAGACACCCCACGAGAGGAACAAACAGAAAAGAGTCATTAAGAATAGGTAAATAAAAGATTTTAGTCTGTTGTTGACTGATCCAGAGAGAGCTCTTCCTCCAGATCATTAATTTCTTTTCCTCTAATATTTGAACATCAGTATCATAAGATTGGGAAGAAAATTCAAAAGTAAAAAACTTGATGCTTCCAAGAAGATACAGGACAGGACGAGGAGATCAGTAATTATAGTTTTGAAGAGCTATGGGTGGGACAGGACATCTCCTGTCATCTGGAGTCACCATCTAAGGCAATGCCTGAGCTTAAGGCAATATAAGAGCAGTGTCTGTTGCAGGTGCTGTGGATTGAGTTTTCCTGAATACTATACAAGTCGTTTCTCTGAAATACATTAATTTGCCTGTGCAGCTCAAACAGAAACAGTCACAGCTCCAGCTGGAAATAAGCCCAGCAGTTTTGTGTCAAAAATAGATTTTCTTTGGTTTTGTTCTCATGTCTTAAGTGATTACAAAGATCAGGGCCTCCATCACACACAGCAGAGTGTCCTGGACACAGCAGTTTAGCCACCTCTGGTGCCCCATGGACTTATCCAGCTCATGGCTTTTCTCTGAAGTGTTCTTCTGCATTTACTGACGAGGGAAAGCCTCTCTCCAAACTGTCTTACAAGCCTTTTGTTCTAGAAATTAGAATTACAAATAAGAAACATATTTTTAGAATGCCTTGAACCAGCACAGACTTCAAATGTGTCCATAGACAGAAGGTAAAGTGAAGCCAAGCTGGAGGGTGGTTGGAGAAGTGTGTAAACCTTTCATACTCTTCTGGAAGAAGCAAAATGGAGGAGGTTCCTCAGTGTGGTTGGGGAGTATGATGTCTGCTAAGCTTGTTAAGCAGATTTAGGCTTGAGGTTATATGTTCCAATGTGCCAATGGCACTTGGGACTCATTGCCCCTACCTGCAGCCATCTACCTGTTGGGTGACTGGTCAGATCCAGCTGCCAGTGGAAGGAGATAGGCATCCAGAGGGGCTGATTCATCCTGACCTGACAGATCTCCAAGATAGGGGAGATGAATCACCTTCTCATACCTCTCTCTTTGTTGGCTATGGGAGGAGTCTAGACGACTTGTTAAAAGGGCTGATTTTCAGAGAGACACAGTTAGGTAAGAGAAATCTTACCCTGAATCCTTCACAACTCCCAGTCCCTATTTCTAAAGTAGCCCAGGTCCTGAAGACCTTTACCAAAAACTTCTGGAACAAAAGTGTGTAAGAGAGATACTTTCCCTCCTCAGTAAATGCAGAAGAGCTCTTCAGAGAAAAGCCACGAGCTGTGAAAGTCCTTGGTGAACCAGAAGGGGCTGAACTGCTGTGTCCAGGGCTGTGGTGGCTGATGGAGGCCCTGATCTTCACAACCATCTTGCAAGCTGGTCACTACAACACCAACATTGCTGGACTGAAATCCCCAGCAGCCAGTGGCATTTCTAACTACCCAGCACTTGTCCAGCTGGTGTCATGATTGTGAAGAAGATCAGGAATAAACAAATCAAGCAATAATCCTCACACCAGCAACACAAGTTGTCACTTGCCAGTATAAGCATGTGTTGGAGGGACAACAGCAGAGCTGGGGCTTAGTTTCCTACCTCTTTAGAAGAAAAACCCCAACAATCAAACAAACAAACAGAACAGCTAAAACCCACTGAAACAGCTGGAACGGAACAGTTTTCTTAGACAAAGTGTAACAAACTCTACTCAGGAATCACAACAAACAGTAACAAATGATTGAAGCAAAACATCACAATCATTTGACTTATGAAGTCCAGAGACTTCACCTCAGGTCCAAGAGGTCCCTCACTGGCAAATTTCTGATGGCAAGAAAACCACTTTGGGATGCATCTCTGCGTGCTTGCCATGCTTAGACCCTTCTGCAGGAGCCATCACTGCCTTGGAGACAGAGACAGGACACTTGACCCATCATGTTCTGACCCAACATAGGCACTGTTTTGGTCTCAGACCAGGCAGAAGCACATTGTCTGGGGCTGAACCAGCTCAGCCAAGGACATTGAAACAAGTCAACAGACTGTATGTAAATCAAAATTTCCAAGATGTACCAGTGCTCCCAGAGCTTCCCACTGAACACACAGTGGGCAGCAACCCCAGGATGCAAACCTAGCAAGTGACATTGGCACCTTGAAGGGAGCATGTCACACCGGGGCCATTAGAAGAGACAACAGAGAAATATTCCTGAAGCTGAGGAATGCTGACCTTATCTGTCAACTACCAGGATTATCTTCAAACCTCTGTCTTTGTGCTGGAAGCCAACATAAGCACCTTTCCTGGTGCTCTGATGGCTCAGAGGGAGCTGCTTTGCTTTGCCACCCCGAGTTGTGAGTTGTTGACAGGAGCCCTTTCTTTTTCCCATATTCAAATACCAGATGTATGAATTTCTCATTTCTACTTTATAGCTGATGAAAACCAAGAAAGAGCAGAAAACAGGCCTGAGGCAGAGAGGCAACAGGTCCCAGCAGACAATGAAGTGGTCTGGAGTGATTACCAGGAGTCGGTCACCAAGGGCAAGAGCAGGATCTCTGTGGGATATGGGACTCAGACTGGGCAGAAACAAGTACTGTCTCACCTGTGCTTTTTCTGGCAATCTGTAATCTATTCTTCAGAAATCACTATGGGAGAAGTGGACCACCTCATTTTCAAACTCAGAGACTATCTGAAAAGAGTCTGCACCAGCAATGAGGCTGGGAATAGCAACACAGTTATAATGTAAATCCCCTGATCATCACCATTCAACCACATTCATGTTGTACACAGAGAAGGTTTTTTGGTACATGGGAACAAAACTGAAAACTCTCCCAGGTGAGCAATGGATGTGCTGACAGCTTCAGACAGCTTCAGTCCTCTTGTGCCATTTGGACATCAATCCACAAAGCAAACCTTGTCCACACTAAATTCCCCAGCCACAGACCACAGGGATATGGGCTCCTCAACCACCCTCTTCCATAGCCTGGAATTACTAAGACAGCCATAGTCAGGGCAGATCTCTCTCAGGCAAGTTTCTGAAGTTCCACGACCTTGCTACATGACTCCTCCTTTCTGTACAGGTCAGCTCAAGTAATGCCACAGTTCCCAGATAAAAGAGCCTCTTACCGGGTATCCCCAGTTGCTGTTCCCTGCCTGGGTTTTGGCATAATAGCTCCGGGATGTCCCATAGCCATATCCATCAGCCAAACCATCATACATGGAACCTGCAAATGCAAAAAACATGGTCAGCAGGAGCAAGAGGCACCAGCAGGTAGCCTTCAGAGCACAGGACTTTTTTTTTTCCAGTGAGTTTAGGTACTGAAGAATATCAGAGTTAGAAACCTTAACAGGAAGATAGGAAAGACAGGCAGAAAGTTGAGTCCTTGTCATTGCAGGAAACCCAGGGCAGATGTTCATTCCAGAAGAGCTCTTTGAAACTCCAGCCCTCAGACCACAAGCAACAGCCTAAGATTTGCAGCACAAAAGACCAACTGCCTTAAAATCTACAGCCAACAAGAGCAGAGGGGGTCAGAGACTAGGACAAGGTCTTAGGTCTTTGCTATATGAGAGGAAGTGGATGATATTTTGTGCTACATATCCTGGGATAGACTTCCCTTATTCTGACATGGAGGTATAAAAACCCTGCCTCTTCTCTGAAGGCAAAACCCATCCCAGACCCTTTCACTAGTCTGGCTTTCCTGGGCTGAATCCCAACAATCCCATCAACACTGGCAGCCTGAGCAAGGCTGACTAAATTCCATCAATAATAAATAACAAATAAATAAATAACAAATAATAAATAATAAATAACAAATAAATAAATAAATAACAAATGATGGGTAAATGATGATCAAGTCGATTTAATTCCTGGGGATCTGAAGTAGTGAAACATTAAAAACCCTAATTGCACTGCCTTAAGTTTCACTCCCCAGTCTCTAAAAGATCACTCTGTGTATTTTTACTTTCTTTTCCTGAAAACGTATTAAGCTTCATCATTATTTTTGGGGTGGTAGGGAAATACATGAGACTAGATCTTAGATACGTTTCATAAAGGGGCAGATTCCCTGGGACAGGAGGAACCCAACAGCCATTTCTACTGTCTCTCAGTGCTTTAATCAGTGTTTGGAATTCCCTGTCCCAGCCCCACTAAGAGCTCTTCCAGGTGTTTCTCACCACCAGCACAATCTTTGGATCCCTCCTAAGAGTATTTTACATGATGCTACAATTATCATTAGCAGAAAAAAATGAATCAAGTCATTCCCTTTCTGTGCTGGGATTCCTTCATGCCCCTTCAGATGGTCCACAAGAGTTGAAAGTCATTGAAGTTTCCTTCTCAAAAGTGCTCAATAATCGTGGCATCCCAAGGCCCGTTATGAGGAAGCGCAAACCCTGCGCTCCAATTAACTTCCAGGGGAAGCTCTGAATGTCTAACAAAGTACAAGATCAGGACTTACCTGTCTTAATTTATGCACCTAAACTGGTGGGTAATGTCAGAAATATCCTAATCTCTCTGATTGTTTGATAAGAGTCACCTCTTAGATAAACTGGATAAGCTCGACCACAAAGGCCCTGAAGCCACTCAGGTCTTCTTGAGCCCTGATCCCTGGAACAAATCTGGTTTATTGCCTTGCCTGAGGCACCAGAACCTGTTATGGTGATTTGGTTCGTGGCTAAAAATTCTTGCATTTTCTCAGGAAGATGGATCCCACAGCTGGGGTATAAATAATGAATTTGCTTTCTACTGTCAACAAGAGGAGCAGGGCTGCGTGGATGGCAGCATCTGAGGAACATTGCTGACCAAAGAGCAAGCAACAGCAGAGTAGTTTCACAGAGCTGTGCAGAAAACCACAGGATCTCATTTTTCACAGAGTCTAGAGACTTGGTGGGCATTGTTCCCTAAGATCTCTCCAGATCTGATTGCTCCATATAAATTAAACTGTGCAGAACTTGCTGATAAGCAAGGAAATGGCCATGGATGTCCAACAGGAGATACAATTCCGCTGTGCCCTTCCCTTTGGTCTTCCCACCCCACCCAGGGATTTCCCTGAAACTCCAGATCAAACATAAGTGCTGGGGTTCAGCAAGGCTGGGAGAGCTGGGGCTGTTCAGCTGGAGAGGAGGAGCCTGAGGGGGGATCTCATCAACCCTCCTCAATATCTCCAGGGGTGTCAGCAGGATGGGGCCAGACTCTTCCCAGCAGTGCCCAGTGACAGGACAAGGGGCAATGGGCACAAACTGGAGCACAGGAGGTTCCAGCTGAACATGAGGAAAAACTTTTGAGGGTGATAGAGCCCTGGGACAGGCTGCCCAGAGAGGTAGTGGAGTCTCCATCCCTGGAGACATTCCAAATCCATATGGATGTGTTCCTGTGGGATCTGCTGTAGGTGACCCTGTTCTAGCAGAGGGGTTGGACTAGTTGATCTTCAGATGCCCCTTCCAACCCCCACCACTCTGTGACTCTGTGACTTGAAAGGGTAAGTTTGGGCCAGGGCACAGAGTGAGGTAATGACATGAGTTCTGAGCACAAAGATAAAATGATCCCATGACAACAGTTCCTGGGAATTCCTTCTTACAGAGATCCTCTTGTTCTGTGCAAACTTCATGGAACTGCAGGGGGGAGTGTGTTCCTGGTGCTGTGGGTGGGCAGTTGGAGGTGTTTCTGGGCATGACTCACAAGTTACTCTGTCCAGTCCCCCCTGGGGACCATGTTTTTCCTTTCATAAGCCATTCTGGTCATTAGTTGCACTAAAAACTTTGGGGTTGAGCAAGAGGACACCAAAAATAAGCCAGTTTAGGCACACCTCTAATTTCTTGTATAAAACACCACTATGTGGCCAAATTCAAGAGACCAGGCAGTTCATGCAAGTTTATGTCCTTCAGTTGTTCAAGCTGCCTTCACTTCCAAGAACTTGTATATAAGAGCCTGTAAATATGTAATTATCTATAACCTCAAATGGCATTTTGAAGCTGCCTTGCTGGTTGGAGAAGGTGCTGCTCCTGTCACCACACAGCTGTGGTTTATTGCTTGGAGAGCCCAGGCTGAAGGCCAGGAGGAACCTGGGGATTTTCTGATGGTGATGGCTAAAGCAAACATCATCTTTGCTTAGTCCTGCAAGTTTAGATTCTTCTCTGCCTCGTTCACCTTAGGAGCCAGCTTGGAGGTGTGTCACCAGCCCCCAGGGAGAGGAAGGACATTCCTCTTTTCAGCCACCTCAGGGTTGGAGGCCATACAAGTTGGTCACAGGTCCCGAGGCTCTGGGATAAAACCAGACTATCTCTTAAAAAAAGCCCCACCCAACACTTAGGCAGGGGGTGGAAATGGTCTTTGAGGGAGATGCCTCTCTGGTGCTTTTTTCTAGCTATGTCCATATGTGTGTGTCCCATTTGTCATCCAAGCAGCTGTTTAGGTCTCTGAAGTGCCCTCTTGCACTTGCACAAACACAGAGCCAGTTAAACCCACTGTATCAGCAGTAGGTAACAGATGGGACAGAGGCAGAAAGGACATGGATGAGAATCACTGAGATGCACAACTTGCAATCAATGATGGTTGTGGGCAGAAAATACCACTGGGGGCTGCTCAAGTGCTGGCTGGGCTATCAGAGTAACCCCTCTCTCCCACCCCTAAATTGGCAGCTCCCCAAGGCACTTCCTTCAAAACGTGGTCAGTCTGAACTCTCATTTCACTTCAGTGGGACAGTTCACAACTATAACCTAATGATGACAGGTAAGGATTGCAAGACCATAGAATCATGGAATGGTTTGGGTTGGAAGGGACATTCAAGATCATCTAGATCCAACCCCCTGCATGGGCAGGGACACCTCCCACCAGCCCAGGCTGCTCCAAGCCCCATCCAACCTGCCCTTCAACACTGCCAGGGATGGGGCAGCCACAGCTTCCCTGGGCAACCTGGGCCAGGCTCTCACCACCCTTATAGTGAAGAATTTCTTCATAATATGTAATGTCAGTCTCCCTTCTTCCTGTTAGAGACCATTCCTTCTTGTCCCATCCCTCCCTGCCCTTGTCCCAAGGCCCTCCCCAGCTTTCCTGGAGCCCCTTCAGGCACTGGAAGGTGCTCTAAGGTCTCCCTGGAGCCTTCTCTTCTCCAGGCTGAACACCCCAACTGGAAATGGTCTTTGAGGGAGATGCCTCTCTGGTGCTTTTTTCTAGCTATGTCCATATGTGTGTGTCCCATTTGTCATCCAAGCAGCTGTTTAGGTCTCTGAAGTGCCCTCTTGCACTTGCACAAACACAGAGCCAGTTAAACCCACTGTATCAGCAGTAGGTAACAGATGGGACAGAGGCAGAAAGGACATGGATGAGAATCACTGAGATGCACAACTTGCAATCAATGATGGTTGTGGGCAGAAAATACCACTGGGGGCTGCTCAAGAGCTGGCTGGGCTATCAGAGTAACCCCTCTCTCCCACCCCTAAATTGGCAGCTCCCCAAGGCACTTCCTTCAAAACGTGGTCAGTCTGAACTCTCATTTCACTTCAGTGGGACAGTTCACAACTATAACCTAATGATGACAGGTAAGGATTGCAAGACCATAGAATCATGGAATGGTTTGGGTTGGAAGGGACATTCAAGATCATCTAGATCCAACCCCCTGCATGGGCAGGGACACCTCCCACCAGCCCAGGCTGCTCCAAGCCCCATCCAACCTGCCCTTCAACACTGCCAGGGATGGGGCAGCCACAGCTTCCCTGGGCAACCTGGGCCAGGCTCTCACCACCCTTATAGTGAAGAATTTCTTCATAATATGTAATGTCAGTCTCCCTTCTTCCTGTTAGAGACCATTCCTTCTTGTCCCATCCCTCCCTGCCCTTGTCTCAAGCCCCTCCCCAGCTTTCCTGGAGCCCCTTCAGGCCCTGGAAGCTGCTCTAAGGTCTCCCTGGAGCCTTCTCTTCTCCAGGCTGAACACCTCAACTCTCCCAGCCTGGCTCCAGAGCTGCTCCATCCTCTGATCATCTTCATGGCCTACTCTGGACTTGATCCAACAGCTCCATCTTGCACTTAACCCCTGTGACCCCTACTACATGCCCACCTTGTCCTGCCCCCCCCCCCCCCCCAGCTGCCATTGATGATGGCAAAGCAAACTGAGACTTCACCTGACCCAACGTGCCTGTGCTTGATGAGTTATTTATTTTCTTCAAAGGCAAATTTACACTCATTGAAGCTAAGAGACTGCTGGTGAGGAGAAGATTTGTGTTCAAAGGGCTGTTTTTCAAGCATGACAGTGAAAGGCTTCAGCTGGACACATGAAGCCACCAGGGAGCTTTGTGGAAATGGATGCATGGGAATAAATATTAATTTGCGGCGGTGAAAGGCAAGACAAGAACCAGTCCCTGGTAGTGCAGGCTGGGTGAGTTAAATCAACTATGCACAGCTTTAAAACAATAAGGATGATTAAACATAGGAAAAAAAGTAGTAGAGAGAAGAGGGCCCGTGGGAGGCACAAAGCAAAGCCTGATGCCTCCTGCCAGAGCAGCATTAGTGAAATCGCAGGAGCTGAGATTCTTGCAGGAATGACCCAACTTTGCTCCTGCCTTCCAATACTCTGAGGTTTGTGAAAGAGTGAATGGCTTCCACTGAATCATCTCATGCTGGGGAAGGTTACAGAAGACTTCCAAAGGTTTGTTATCTCCAAAATCTCCTCTTCACAGCAGTCAAGATTGCCATTAGAATACGTGGGATCACATCAGAGGTAGGTGGGATTTCTCCCCTCAGCCACAGCCAGCACAGAAAACCTCTGAATCACAGCCTAGCTGTCAGACAGTTGGGTACAACACTCCTTTGTTGTCTTTCCTCAGACCTTTGCTCCCTCCTCTACCCTGCCAGCCAGTGATGAGCCACTGGAAAAGCTTTTCTTTAGCCAGAGGACTCTACAGCCTGATGCTGTTGGCTCTGAGGAGCTGGTTCAGCCTTCCCTCCTGCCACGCTGCTGAAATTCCTTTCTCCTTGAAAACTTGCATTACTCACAAATTCAGATGGAAACATCCAGTTAACTCTTCATCCATGGTAAGAAGATATGCCTCAGAGCAGACCCCAGACCCAGAACCCCAGCAGGGCAGACCCCACAGACCCCAACCTCTGCAGCCACCCTTGGAAACACCTGTAGCTGCTGCACTAAGAAAAGGTCCCACTCTGGATGCAGATTTATGCTGCTTGCCACTGTCTTCTGCTCACTGCTCTACTCCAGTGAACACCAGTTTGAGCCCAAATGGATCATGTTGCCCTGCTGTGACATGTGTATATGTTTGCTGTCACTAGATCTTCAGAGTGTGGCTACAATGCCTTGATCTTCTTGAGTCCAAATAACCAACTAATTTTATGTATTCATCAGTTAACAGGACTTTGAAGGAATGTCTGTTGACCCTCTTAAGAAACTTCAGTTATGGAATATAACAACACCCATCCCAGCTACATGCAAGAGGGGTCCATGTCCGTGCTCCCTGTCCTACATGCACAGGTGTTCCTGAAGCTGGGAAAGCTGCACCATGAGCTCCTGCTCCAACCACAGATCAAAGTGCAAAACTAGCCACCTGGACCTGAACCAACATCTCAGCAGACACATGCAGGAAACAATCTGGGTGCAGAAGGAGAAAAGCACTTGAATTCTTAACGAGGGGCTCTGGGAGTTCCACAGCTTATGCTGCCTTTGAGGAGCAGCTCTGAGCAGTCATAGGGGGGGACGTAGCTGAGGTTGGAGGAGCATTTGACCAGTAAGACCCTCCACACCCACAGACCCCTGTAGCTTGTAGGAAACATTAATGCTTCTCTTCATGTCTGCTCAGCCAACCTATGGACCAACAGCAGCAAGAATCCATACTTGAACATTCAGCCTGACCCTCTTGGGCTTCAAACCAGGAGAAAAGCCCTAAAATAAAGGCAGCTTCTTGCCCTTCTGGGATTCCATCCAGAAACACATTGGGAGCAGTCGAAGTGGTGAAGCAGCCAGCAGGACCTTGGTGCTGACCAACCTCTTTGTGGTGAGAATGGGAAAGCCTCAGCCCCTGGGAGCTGGATGTGACTCAGCTTCCCTGGGACACAGAAACCAGAGCTGCACATTTCCACGCAATTCCCATTCCCAGACATTTCCAAAAGTGTCTGGAGGAGGAGTTCAGCTCCAGCCTGTCGAGCAGAGACGGGCAGCTTGGGAATCTGCTTTTCCTTTTTTTTTTTTTTTTTCTTTCCCAGAGGTTTCACCTGGGCTCCTCTCCAAGAGGAATAATCACCCTCTGCCTCCCTTCCTTCCTGCCTGCGGGTGGCAGTGGGTGATGTCTCTCTGCCCCCTTCCCCTTGAAACAAAACACCCCTTCACTGGGGAGGGAGGCTGCCACTGCCCCAGTCCCCATCCAGAGCCTCTCATCACACCCTGGTTTGGTTTTTTTTTGGGGGGTTGTTGTTTGTTTGTTTGTTTGTTTGTTTGTTTTGGTAGGTCCAGCACCATAACACCCTAAGCAATAAACCCTCCTGAGGTAGGAGATTTACATCTTCCATTTTGATGGCAGAAGAAAGCTTTCCTTGCCCTGTCCCCCATCCACCCCCTGGACTCCATGTCCACAAACACACACACAAAAAGAGAAAGCAGAATTGTTCCTGGTGGTGCCCATCACGGGGCCCTGCTCACATGCCATCCATCCAGGAGCTGCCCTGTTCCTTTCACTGCAGCAGCTGCCAGGCATTACAGCCAGGATGGCTCCCATGGGAACACCTCCTCCACTTCACCTCCAGCCTCATGCTTCTCTTGGGGAGGCAGCCCAAAACGTGTGTCTGGACCATGACACCCCACCAGAGCTAGATTCAGCTTCACAATCCAGCTTGGAAAAGCTTCTGGTCAAGCCATAGTCCCCAGAAGAGGTGGCAGAGACTGGCCCAGCTCACCCAGCTTTCCAGCTGCTCACTCCAGACTTGGCTGAAGGGTTCAGCCCCAGCCCCAGTTCCCACTTCTCCCCAGAAGCCTTGGGCTTTCCTCTCCCAGTGGACATGGCTGGAGCAATGAACTCGTTGCAGCTGCTGGTGAAAGCACCTCCCAGAGCCAGGAGGTTTTGTTCTGCGCCTGCTGCAACCCTCTGGGTCTGCAGCTCCTGGCTGGGGAAAGCTGGGACTGATCTCCCAATTGGCTTTCTCTGTACGCAAGGATGGTGAAGAAAACCATCTGCCAAGCCTTGACCCAAGAAGAGAGGTATTCCAGTAGGAAACCTGGCTCCAGGGCTCAGCTCACTGCTTGCTTTCTGTGGCACAGACTCAGAGCATGGAGGTGGCCAGGCTGCCAGGTCCCCTGCACCCCTTTCTGCCCATCTGCAAATGGGAGGGGGCTGCAAAGTGTCCCCAGTGACCCAACACAAGCTGCTGAAGTAAGGAAAGGACATCTCTCCTCACTCATGCCCTTCCTACCACTCTCACTGGGGTCTCCCAGAGGTGCCCGCACTTCTCAGCCTGCAAATGGGAGACGTGTTGGGATCTTCAGAGGTGAATCCCAAGCTCAGGTTCATGTCCTATGTGTCGGCAGAGCTGCCTGCTCTCCACCTGCTCAGGAGACAGCTGAGCCCCAGCTGGAGGCTCCTGGCCCCATGGCACAGTGAAGAGCAACACTGTTGGCTTTGGCCATCAGAGGAGGGGATGGGTCTGGTGGAGGATTCCAACCATGGGAGCACTAGCAAAGAAGTATTTGCAAAGGTTGGGCAGCTACTCCAGCTTTAAAGCCAGGGAACAAATGGTTAATAGAACCCCACTGAAATGTCCAAGTGCCTGGGGGATGTGGAGCAGCCCAGGGAATCAGCTCCACCAGGGAGGGAGTCGATGCATCCAGCTCTGCATCGTGTCCTAACTCTTCCATCCAGGGCAAGAAACCTCAATGTCCCCTTCCTGGGGTAACCCCTCAAAGGCACAAACCAGTCTGTCCCCCTCAGACAACCCCCCCCAGAAACACCCCAGAACATCTGCTCTGTCCCCAGAGGGGCGTTTTACCTCGGTTGGAGTGGCCCACGCTGGACGACACCGATGACTTTTGCTTCTGCCTCTTCACCGTCATCATCACCTGCTCCTGGACCCGCTGTTTTCCCGTGCCCTTCGTTTTCAGCTTGTGGTCCGAGGGCAGGGCCAGAGTGGAGCTGGCCTGGTCCTGGAAGCACTCGTAGGCCAGGGCTGTTTTCAGCGGAGAGTGGAGCATGTCTGCAGCAGGGCTGGGGGGCAGGAGAGGGGCTGCTCTTCACCTGACCGGGCACCGCACGAGCCACCCGCGAACGCGTCTCCTGCTGGGGTTAATCTCCCGAAGCCCTCCTTGCCATACGCCCCCCCCAGGGCCGAGGCTGTCTCAGGGCTCCTGCTCCCAGCTCAGCTCCCCAGCGTGTGAGCAGGAAACACCCTCTGCCAGACTGGATATACAGCCCTGCCCGCACACACCCACGCGCTCCCCGCTGCGGGGCTCCCGCGCCCCAAACTGCCTCCCCGCGCCCAGATCCAGGGGTCCCGGGGGGGAAGCAAAGGGGGCCAAGGAGGAGCAGGCAAGGTGGGCAGGTGTGGGTGGACATCACTGGCCTCTTCACTGTGAGGGGCTCCTGGGAGAGGCTGTGTGGGGCTGGGGTGCAAAGGGTGCTCCTGGGCAGCTGGAGGGTCTCCCACACAGCCTGCCCACCTTGTGTTGTAGCATTTCCCTGGGTCTAAACTGGATGAAAATGGTGGGTCAGTGCCTGGGGACGCCCCTGCTAGTTGAAGGCAGTGTGGCTGATGCTGTGGGTCAGAACAGCAAAACCACCACGGTGCCTGTTCCTGCCCGGGGCTTGGGCCTCCATCCTGCCCTGGTGCTCCCATGTCCCACAGCCCCCTCTGCAAAGCCCTTCCTCTGCCCACACAGGCTGCAAAACTACCCCCTGAGCCCAGGGCTGCAGGGGTCATGGAGGGTCCTGCTGACTGCAGGGTCCTGCTGTGCTCGTGGTGTGAGACCTCCTCCCAAAGGGGGTCCCACCTTTTGCAGGGAGAAATGAGGAAGTCAGGGCAGCCACCAGGGCAGGGACAAACTTTGCAAGGAACTTGGGGCAGCAGGGAGAAAACTAGGACTTGCAGCAAGCAGAGTAGAAGATAAAATGGCTGTGCAAGAAATTACATGCCAGGTTATGAATTTGAGCAGAGAATTACCTCCCTGCCAAGCCACACTGCAGCAACTCATTTGCAGGGATTCAAACACCCTGGTGCTGGTGTGACCAGTTTCAGGTCACAGCAAGCACTGACAAAGCTCCTGCCAAGCCACAGGAGGCTGATAGAGGAGAAGAGGCACAATCCCAACAGAAGGAAGGCCAAGAGGAGGGTGGCCAGGGCAGAAGCTTCCTGGGCCCCCCAGCATGAGGTCCTGGGTGCTCATGTCAGCACACAGCTCAGAGAAGGGCCAGGAGGAGCAGGGTGCTCCACACTTCTGCGTGGAGGGTGATATAGTGGAGGCTGCCCATAGGAACGGGGCTTTCAGCTCACAGCTGCTGGGTTCCTCCACGAAAACAGAGGTGAAGCACCTTGTTCATTCCCATTCATCAGGTTTTGTGTTACCCTGGTGGCTCACGAGCACGTGGTGCCACGTTTCACAGGGACAAGAGCAGTGTCAGAAAGCACAGGATATGCTCCTGGGAACATTGTGCACCTTCCTCTTCTGATTCCCCAGCACGTTCCTCCAGTGAAACCCAACAGTAGAAACCAAATCATTGTCAATGAGACTCCTGTGTCTAGAGAGTAATTACCTTTGGTCCCCTCTCACCACACCTCCTGAAACCCCACCCAAGGGATGCAGTAGCTTCACTCTGCTCCATCGACCAACCAGCCTGGACATTCAGATCATGCCCAAGCAAAGCCAAAGCAGGATAAGTGCTAAACATTGCCCTAAACTGAGTGGCAAATGCCCAGTGAGATGGAGGAGGAGTTTCTGCTGCTCCTGTTGCATTTCCCAGAGAGGGGCTAAGCCTATGCCCTTCCAGTCCAGGCAAGGACCAGCCAAGCAATACCTGGGAGTTGTTTTCCTCTGTCCTACTTGTTTCTCCTGAAAGCTTGTTATCGATGCCAAACGCTGTTTGCACAGATCAATGACAGGCTGTCAGTGTCAGGTGGCTTCAGCACAACAAAGTGCCCAGCTCTTGCAAACCTGTAATGTCATTTTCCCCCGCGGCAGGGAACAGTCCTCACCCTGTCCTCGCACGAGCAAGCCAAGTGTTTATCACATCCCCTCATTTGCTGGTGGATAATCCAACTGCTCCACGCTGGCATCTGCCCTGTTTCATAATCCACCCAAAATGCTGAGCTGGGCTCTGGGGCTGGGGCAGCTCAGAGAGGCTTTCCAGAAACAACAGCCTCTTTGGGCGAGTTTGCACGTTCTAGCCCAAGGGAGAGAATCTCCCGGGTTGCTGCAACAGCTCCAAAGCTGCATCTAAAAGAGCAAAAGGGAGTTAAAGGAAGGAGTTGGTTGCACTTCTGTGTCAATGGCCATTTCTGCTCTGAATCACGAGCTGGGGATGCTTGGCTGGCAGAGCACGGGGAGCAGCAGCACCCGAGCTTGCACCCACCAGTGCCTGGAGCAAATAATTCCCTGTCTGCCTTTCTGTCTGGAGCTCCCAGCCAGGGAGAAGGTTGAAAGGGAAGCAAAGGTCGCGTCGAATTAAGGGCACGACGGGTGAAAGATTGGCAGGGTGAAAAAAAAATTAAAATAATAACAATTGATAATAAAATAATGACGAAAAGAAGAAGTAGAAATAACTGGGCAGGTGGGGAGTGGAGGGAGCGGAGGCCGCGGCTGCGGTGCCGGCTCAGGAGCCGCGCATGGTGATGCCGTGAGTCAGGGCTCCCCACCCCACCCCGGGACACACCTTGTGCATCTGGCCTCTTCAAAGCATTTTTGTGCGAGTTCCTGGGATTCCTGCCAACTGGCTGATTGCAATCAAAGGGCCCGATCCTGCTCCCAGAGTGGTGCAGGGGGGGAGGTTTTGCTGTTCAAACTTGTCGGGTGCTCCTGAGCTGGAAGTGTCGAGGGGGTCGCTGCAAAATTAATTGGTCCCTAAAACTGGGGACAAGGAGTCCTGCTGTGGGTTTTTTTTTTGCATTTAGGGTTGATTTTCCTCAGGAGGGTGGTCACCAGGAGGGATAAATTAATTGGTCCCTAAAACTGGGGACAAGGCATCCTGCTGTGGGGTTTTTTTTTTTGGCATTTAGGGTTGATTTTCCTTGGGAGGGTGGTCACCAGGAGGGACAGAGTTGCAGGTGCTGGGAATTTCCTTTCTTTCCCAGGATAATGCCATTTTCTGAGCAATGACTCAGCCTTGCCCCAGCACCCCTGAGACTTCCCAGAGCCTGGCAAGGTTTTTCCAGAAGGAAACTTGCTCTTCAGATTTGCAAAGTCCTAGTTTCACTCTGCTTCTCATGAAAGACTTTCTTCTGTGGGACCAGAGAGTGCCACAGGAACGGGGCAGATGAAAAGCTCAGATCCAATGGAGTAACCAGGATCCAGCTGAAAGTGAGCATGGAGCTGCCAAGTTGAGGAAAGCCAGGCAGAAGCTGCTGAGACACATGCATGGGTTGCTTCTGAGTAAAACCTCCCTCCACTTCTCACATACGTGTGGCACTGAGATGGTTTTGGGCTGGTGCTGTGGGAGGACAAGAAGATGACAGCACTGAGCAGATCATGGGCTGGCCAGTGGTGGAGTGGGTAGAGTTCACCAACCCCAGAGACCTGCCATTGTGCATGGGAGCTTAGGGCAGGAAGGGAAAGAAATTCCTGACTTCTCCACAAAAAGGAGGGAAGGCTCATGTAGCTCAGCTGGGAAGCTCCATGCAGCAGGATGGAAGTCTTGGGTAATGGAGACCAAAGTACCTGGGAACAGATTGAACACATCATTAAGGTGTGGCCTAACAGAAACATGGAATAATTTAGGTAGGAAGGACTGACCCTCTGCCCAGAGCAGGCCCAGCTTTGCTGAACTGAGTTGGGAGCCAGTTGCTCCAGACCTTGTCCAGTTGGGTTTTGACAGAGATCCCACTGGCCTCTCTCCCAGTATTTGACCACTCTCGTGGTGATTTTTGTTTCCAGGTATCTAAGATGAATTTCCCATGTCCCAGCTTCTTCTGGTTGTTTCTCTTTCTCTCCTCATGCATCTCAGAAGATCTGTCTCCATGTCCTCTGCATCCTCCAGTTAATTAGCTGCAGAGAGTTGTAAGTTCCCTCCAAACTTTGTTTTCTTAATCTGAACCAACCCAGCTCTCCCAGCTTTTCCTTTTGTCCTCTGCTTCACTCCTGACCATTCTGGGGCTGGAAAGCAGGCTAAGCCCTTGTCCTTGTCAGCTGGACCTCCATGGGCTCACATTCTTGGTTATCTGCTTTTGCTACCCCTGTTTGTGGCAGATGGTACATGTGATGCCCACAAAGGGACAGCAAAGAAGAGCAGGACATCTGGAGACCACCCTTAAAGCTCCATGCAAGAACCTGCAGGTACTGGACAACAGGTCCAAGGTCAGTGCTGTCAAAGCTTGTCCCTTCTGCCTTTCCCTGCTCTTGCACATCCCCTGGCAAACAGTCATATCCCAGGTCCCACCTTAGATGAGCAACAAGATCACAATTCTGAGATGCTTGTCAGCAGCTAAAAAGGGTCTTGGTCAGCAGGTCACTCTGGAAACAAGCACCAGGAGTGGCCATGCAGCTACCAGGGAAGGGCAAGCATCAGGGAGGTGCCCTGGGAGGGGAGGAGGTGATGGAGAAGGAAGGAGCTCTGCTTCCCCTCAGGAAGAAGGCCATCAAGTTGGCCAATCACCCAGTTTTCATCTCCTTGTGTTCCCATTTGACTTGAAGAGCCTCTACAAAACCAGCCAAGGAGCTGCTGATCTCCTCCCATCTTTACCCTGTGGGGAAATGTCCAGTGAGCTCAGCCTGGACTTGTCTCTTCACCACCTCTGTGAAGGAGACACTACACCCCAAGGCTTGCCATCTGGGACCTTGCTGGTAAAGCCCTTTCTTGCTGCAGCCCTTGCCCAGCAGCCCAAGAGCAAAGATTGCGTGAAGATCCCAGCTCAGGATCTCGGGCTGGTCCTCTCCCAGGGACTTCCCTGGTGCTGCTGAATATCAGTGGCAGGTTATTACATCTGCAGGAGAGGACACGTGGGAGGGGATGGGTGCAGTGAGGGACTCTTTGTGCTCATGGCACTTAC